GTAACTTCCATATGAAATAATGATGGGATTTACAAATGCGACACTAAAATTTATATTTTGTTACTGCTTTTTTTGCACAAGAATAATTAAATCAGCATCAATATTTTGTATGTAATTTAAAATCACCAATTACGAAATAGGGGCTTGGAAACACATTAATGTGTATAGCCAAAAATACTGGAAAAATAAAATTAGAAAATGAATGGCTCAGTGTCTACCCTTAAACATCGTAGAGAATGTTGGACTCAGAATTTAATCACCATAAAGGGTATAGGCTGGAAGTAAATAAGGCTGAGCCCAACCCTGAAAGCCTGAATTTAGTTGAGTATGACATCAGAAAATAGTGGTGTAACACCGCCTGAGCTGCAGATGGGCTGCCACTCCATGGGTCTTGGTAGCCAAGTCACAGCCTCTTAAGAGAACCATGGTAAAAATCTGGTGAGTGGGCCAGGTTAGATCAGTGATTTTCAGAGCCCAAAAGGGGGAATTTTAAAAATATGCTTTTTTGAAACAAACAAAAGACCCCATTTCCATATTCGTGTGGCTGCTGGCAGAAAACTACTATTTCTAGTGCAGTGGTAGATAAAAGGGATGGGGCCTTGGGTTAGCCTCGGCTGCACCTGCTTTGCTGGCACACGGAGCACTTACGTCTGTGATAGTGTTCAAAGCTGTGTCTGCCCCGATGCTGAAATCGGAGCCTGGCACATTGTTGGAGACAGTGGCAGGAACCATGACCATGGGGACACAGAACTCCTCGTGCTTCTCCCGGGCAGCTGCCAGCTCCAGGAGTCCCAGGTAGGCCTGCCAGACAACTGGATGTGATTCTGGGGCCAGGGAAGGAGAAAGGGGCACGGACAGGGTGTCCCCGGAAGTGAGCAAATGTGGGAGGGCCTCGGGGAGCCACAGGCACCACAATGCACAGGACACACAGTGGGAGACCAGGGACCTCTAAAAAAACCAACGCTGAGAGGCCTTAGACACAAACAAGGATGAGCAGGTTCCTATGAAGGAGAACAAGGCAATTATCATGGGAGTGAGACTAAATCTCATATGTGTGTGAGTCGTTATGTGAGGCTCCCACCTTCTTTAAAGAAGATCAAAAGATTTTTATGAGATTCATCTTTGTTGAATAGGATAGAATTGTAGATTATGGTCCAATACGTGATTTTAAAAAAAGAAAAAGAAAAACCATATATCTACTTTCCTTTTTCAATCATCGAAGGATTTCAAATGCCAACTATGGAATTATTTCTATAGATTGAAAATTAATCAGAATGCATCAAAATGTGGAGTCTCAATTGAGAGGTCAAGGCTTGCACTCTCCCAGTTGGTTATTTACTGCATCAGAATTGGGCCAGCCTTCACTACATCTCACCGTGCTGCCATTCAGCATTACGGGGAAACTGAGTTGGGTATTAAAATCCCAGTTCTTGGGGACTAGCCAACAAAATAATGTGTATGTGAAGTCGGACATGGGGCTGGCCACCACACCTCCAAAACTAACAAGCGGAGAAACAAAGACTCAATAGCATACCTCGAATCCGCCAATGACCAGGAGGGCATTGATATTATGGATGCGCATCTGTTCAGCAATCTTCTCCAAGTACTTCCCAGGTAGGATGCTGAAGATGGACAGGCCAAGAGGTGAGAGCACATCCACAAGCTGGTCAACCTCTTGGAAACCACTCTGCTTACCCCCAGGGCCTCTCCACCTACCTCCCACCTATCGCTGAACTCTGTGGCATGTAGGGGCGGTAGGCAGTGGGACTGCACGTCTGTCACTCCATGGTTAACAGACAGCACCTAGGGCAGCTGAGTCCTCAAAAATGGTCACCCAAGGTAGGAGTGGCCAGGTGCTTTGATTTTTTTCAAAAATAGGAGGGCTAAAGACTAGTTCAATGGTAAAATGTTTGTCTAATATGTGTGAGGCCCCAAGTTCAAGTCACAGCACTACCATAAAAATAATAAATAAATAATTTAGCTAACAACTCTACCTCAAAATAATTCTACTGCCTCACCCAGGTGTGGTGGTGTGCACCTGTGATCCCAGCATTGACAAGATGGAGGCAGACGACTGGGAGTTAAAAACCAACCTGAGTTATGTGCTACATGGTGACTTCCAGGACAGTCTGAGCTACATAATAACCCTGGTTCAAAGATCCCCAAAAGAATTCAACTTATTCATTAAGAAAAAAATATATATAAGAAACAATAGCTTATAAGTATTAAAAGTAATTATTTACATGGAAATTTCCATTTTCCAGATTTTGTGTGTGTGTGTGTGTGTGTGTGTGTGTGTGTGTGTAATTCACTCAATTTAATTTCATTTGAAAGCACATCCATCTACACTTCCCATTCCTCTGCTATGGTGTCATCTACTTCAAATGATATCATCAGCAAGAACCACCATCAGGCAAAGGAAACTTGTCTGTTCCATCTCAGTATTTCATCTGACACTCACCCCTAATTGTTCTTGGTTGCTTATAGGAGAAAACACACCCCTTATACCCTTGGTGTCCAAAGCTGCCATTTCACTGTCCAAACTTCTCAAGAGCACGGCCCGCATTGTCTTACATAAAGCACTCGCACTTGCATGCAGCTTGGGAGTCTCTCTGCTGACGTCTAAGGAGCCATTTACAGACCATCTAAGTCTAATTTGAACTTTGTCATTCATAGCACCTAGGCATGGAGTAAATCTGATCCCGACAGATGGATAACTAACCCATGCTGTGGAATCCCTACCGATGGCCACGTACTGAAGCCTTGATTTGAAATCAAAACTAAGAGTTGATTTGATTGTCTTGGGACAATAAGCCATAATGATATAGAACCTAAAAATTTCTTTCCTTCCATATTAAAATGTGAACTGTACTAATGATTGTAATAATACTTGCATTTTTCAAAAGGGTTTGGACTCAACATGAAATAGCACATCTTGTTAAAATATCCTAACCCCAGCAATGCAGGAACACTGAAAGGATTCTGTAACTCGTAAAAATGTTTGTACTCTAGAATTACTCAGGTCATTTCTTTGGCTTGTGGAACTGGACTGCAAGTCTGTTCTGTTTTTTTCCACTAACTCAAAGCTTTCCCAGCAATGCTAAGTGCTTATTTATACAGCAGCACAGTTGCTATGAGTCAGTAAAATCATCGCTCATTTTTATGACCAAAATGAGATAGAGGACTTTCACACAGTTTTGCTCTCAAATAAGTGGAAGTGAAGAATTAATGGTGAGAAATGCCCACAAGGTATTTGTTTCTCAATTTAAATTCTGGAGATTGAACCTGAGACCTCATGCATGCCAGGTAAGCAGCCCACCCCCAAGCTGTATGCCCATCCCAATCTGCCTTGTTGCTCCAAGGGCTGGGATTCATCGTCTGCTCCCTAAAACAGGATTTTGATCCTGGGTCAATGACAGGCAAGTGTCTTTTGACCTGTCTCTCTAGGAATTCCTTCCAGAAAGTACTGGCGAGTGAACCATGCCACTTGCTCTTCTCCAGTACCTGTCCCTTTTCTTTTTCTTAAGAACTTATCTAAGAAGTTAAAATTTGGAAATTACCGTTTTGTCCCAAGAAGGGACCCTCCTTGGCCAGTCCAACCTCCAACATCTGCCCAGCCGATTTCTTTGATCTAACGTGCAAACAGAGAGTAAAACAGACGAAGCGAAGGAGAAAGAACAGAGTTAGAAAACTCTAAAACCAGCTCAGGTTTCTGTACTCGAATCGGCTGTGTTCCATAAAGACCTGTAAGGATACAAGACTATCTCCTCATAGCAATGCCGACTGACAAGGCATGAAGTGCCCTTCTAAGGACAGGAATGAATGAAGAGCCTCATTTAAGCCACGCTTCCCTTTCCCACAGGAGACACCCACGCTTGTAACCCTAGGCAGCTCTCCTAGGTGGATACCTAAGCTGGCTAAACTCTGTTAACTGGAAAATAAATGAATACCATGGTTTTTAAATTGAAAAAGGTTAAAGTGGTGGCACACGCCTGTAGTCCCAGCACTTGGGAGGCAGAGGCAGGCGGATCTCTGTGAGTTCAAGGCCAGCCTGGTCTACGTAGTGAGTTCCAGGACAGCTGGGGCTACAGGGAGACCCTGCTTCAAAGAGACAAAATAATA